GAGGCGGGTTCTGCTTCTTTTTCTCCCTGACTCGAGAGATTTTTCGACCTGACAGAGAAAATCTTGGTCAATTCATGCTTGTAAAACCAGGGAGGAGCTGGCAGGGGAGGATTTCTGCCTGGCAGCTCAGAGCCAGAGTGTGGCATACGGGAAGTGAAGCACCGGGGTACAGCTCCCTGCCCGACTCCTTGCATCTCAGAAGGTGCCTCCGCGTGCTCAGCTCAGCCTTACGGTCTGGTATGCCGGTTTCTTCATCGCTTTCCCAGGCCAAGGACCACCAGCTTGCAGCATACCGGGTGCCGAAATGCCCCCTCCTGCTCCGTGGCAGTGGCTGGGGGTGGCAGGGGCTGGCAGGGGAGCTGGGCAGTGGGAGCGAGCCGGTCCCAGCTGCCTGGAGTTGGTGTTGTGAGGCTGGTAGAGGCAAGGCTTTCCTCCTCTGTGTTTTGAACTTGTTCTCACCATGATTTCACTGTTCCCAGTTGGATGCCAGCTCTTCCTCCACCTGCTGCTCTGGCTCTTGAAGACCTTTATTATCCCCCTTCAGCTTTTCCAAGCTTATGCGACCTGGACACCTGATCTTTCCTCGCCATGCCTCCAACCTCTCTCTACTCCCAAGCATCCTTAAAGCCTTTCTTCATACTCCTTTATTCCCGCTACGTCCTTTTTGAGAATAAAGGGCTGCATGTAATACTCCAGAGGAGGACCTCCTTAGTTGTTCTCTCTTCCTTTCCTAACCACGCATTATGCTTGCTGTCCTGACTCTCACCCAGCGTTGCTGAAGAGGAGGTCGGCACTTTTCATGACTAGTTAGTGCTGCTTTTCTGTGGGTTGTTGCTTTGCCTTTCTCAATACTAAATTTCATGTGCCAGTTTACCAGCCTGAAGTTTAATACTGTGAGCTCCTGCTCAGCAGTCAGCTTTACATTTCATGGCCCCAAGTCTTTTAACCAGTTGTCTTCTCCCTGCAAGGTGAATGTCCCTCCAGCCCATTGAGTGTTCGCGGGGTTCTGGAGAGGTGCCAAGGCAAAACCATTTTGGAAGTGCTGCTGCTCCACGACAGGCACATCACTCTGCTCCCCACGCTCGGTGACCTGGCTGATTTGCAAGGCACGGCTTCCTCCTGCAAAGGGGCGTTGAGTCTTTCCCAAGTGCTGTGTTGACCCAGACAGTTATAGATAAATAATCCCAAATCACCTGTGACTTCCCCCAAATCCCCCTGGCTACGGCTCGTGTCGCCTTCCCTACCCTCTGCCCCAGGCTGGCAGGAGCAGCTGGGTACCAACCCCGGCTGGGCTGGCATCGCCTCGTCCCAGACACGTGCCTCTCCGCAGCCCCTCGCTTTGCTGGAAGACGTCTCCAGCAGGCCCCTGCCATGGGACAGGCCCCCTGGCACAGCCCCGCAGGGGGTCTGCCATGGGGGCACTGCCTGAGCATCCTCCCCGATCTTCAAACCACCCCTCAGCTTTTCTGCTGAGGCTTTGCCTTCCCTGGGTGCTCTGTTCGTGCCTCCATCGTCCACAGCCCGCACCGGCTCATCGGCTGGTTTCCTGCTCCTGGCACATAGGCAAACATGCTTATTTTCTGCTTTTAATACCTTTAGCAAGATCTTCCCCAAACTTTTAAATCACCTTTGTTGTGACTTTATAGTTTTACTTGCCAGGGTTTTGCCCTTTTCTGTTTCTCACGTTACAGCACCACATCCACTCTTGAAGGCTCTCTCTGCCTCCAGCTGCCTCGTTAGGCTGTCCCTGCAACCGCTGGGCTGCTTTCAGGCCCTTCTTGAGTCACCAAGAGGGCTGGGGGCTGCACCAGCCCCAACTGCTGCTCAGTCGTGCTAGAAAAACAGGGCAGCTGGCCTCGGGGGAGCCCTCCTCCCCCCCAAACACCCACCCAGCTCCTGACTTTTGCCCCACGTACAGTAGAGGCTCTTTCACCCCGCACCGCACACCCAGGCACTTCTTTCCTTCCTGTGACGAAGCTGAACCCGAAACAAAGATTTTCTCCAGCGCTGCCGGCAGCCGGGCACTCCCGGTTCGGCGGCGGGGCTGTGTGCGTCCCCGGGCGCAGGTGGGGAGGAGGTGAGCGGTGCCCTCATCCTTCCCGGGCATCCCCATGGCACGCGGGAAGCAGGGATGGAGCACCTTCACAGACAGACCGCTTTCACCCAAAACCTGCCGTGTTTGGGTCAGCAGCTCCCTGGACCGCCGGGACGTGGGGATGGACCCAGCTCAGCGCTGTGGCATCACCGTGCACCATCCCTCCACTGCAACCCACATCCCAATCCAGGGTCGCTGCCGTTCACCGCCCAGGGTATGGAGCCTGTAAGTGGCTTTTCCTTAGGCAAGGGACATCTTTAAGCCATAGAGCTAGTGTCAGAGATGACAAGCGCAACACATGGCTGGTGACAAACTCCCCGGGACTGGCTGCTCCTCGCCTCTGCTGCCACAGGCTCACGGCAAGGAGTGAGCTTGTGGTGAGCGAGGCTGTGAAGACATGATGCGGGGGACACCCGTCTCTCGCCGGCCCACACCAGCTCGCCCCTCTCACGTGTGGATCAGGCTCCAGCGAGTGATGAGGTTATTTACTGGCTGGGGGGGGCCAGGAGTTGCTCCAGATCCTCCCAGTCCTAGTGATCATTTCAGCCCCATTTGTCTTCCTGGCACTTTGGTTGTTCTGTTCTGCAGTTTTCTTCCTCTGACTTGGCCGCGTGTGTGCAGCGAGCACGTCGTCCGGCCGCCTGCCCTCCAGGCAGCCCCGGGAGAATGGGCAGTGGCTCCCAGCCCCACGCCAGCCTCCACATCTCACTTTCCCAGCTGGGGAAACACATTTTGCAAGGAAATGCTCCCTTTTTGCGTCCAGGTCACTGATGAAAAAAGACCAGAGCCATCAGTGTCCTCCCCCAGCCCTCCAAGCACAACTGGACGCCATCCCTCACTCCTGCCCTTCCCCGTGCTGCAGTCCCTGGGCTGAATTCTCGCTCCTCCTTTTCAAAGAGCATCTTCCCACGGCGCGGGCAGCGCTGCCAGGCATCGCAGGGAGCAGCCATCAACTGGCGTTGCCAGGTCTAAAAACGGTGTCTTAAAAAAGCAGATCTCAGATTAGCATGACAGAACTTTCTAGCCCTGTCTGCCCTTGATCTTCTTTTCCATTTACACCTCCTCCTTTAACTACCTTTTTTCCAAAAGCCATTGAAGATGTTGCACACGAGTAATTTACAGGACCAGCACACTGTGGGCTGGGATTTCATGGGATTATGGCTTCGTCCCTCCCTACACCTCTCTGAGACACAAGGTTTGGGATCCCTGGCTGCTGCATGACCGTGGGAAGGCTGCGGGAGGACAGTTCCAGGATGGGACCTGCCTTTGCTGACCTGTGTGTGCATCCCCTCCTGGGACAGCACCAGCAAACCTAGTTAGCGGGGCCAGCCCAGGGACTTTGGTGCCTGCTTTCTCTTGCTGCAAGCAGTCTCTGCTCATGGCTGTTATCCTCGTGCAGATGTCCAAGGTGGAGCTCATGGACCTCTGCAAGCCTCTGCGCGTCCCAGATTCCTGTGTCTGCAGCAGCTGGCTGCGGTGCCATGTCCAGTACCCAGCATCTGAAGGCAGATGCGTGTGCGCTTCCCCCGGCTGCCAACCGCCAGGGAAAGGCTGTCATGCACCAAGGCTGCCAGGCCGTCCTATGTTGCGACCGCGGGACGGATCTGCTCTCCCCATCCTCCCGAGACCGTTTGCTTTACGATCTGTGAACATCAGGAAGAAATGAAATAGCAGCGGAGAATTCCCTTCAGCAAAGCTTTGATGGTGAAAAATGTGCTGTTGGGTTGTCTGTTCCACAGAACTGAGGAAAAAAAAAAAAAGACGAGGAAAAGAAGGAGGAAGGACAGAGAGAAACCATTTGCTTTTTTCAGAAGTTCCTCACCCAGACACTCCATTGCCGCTGCTCAGAAAGGCCTTTTCTCCTCTCTCCTCCACTCCTGTGCAATCAGATAGTCCCCAAACTGCCCCTGGGTTAATTGAAACCAGAAGCCGCTGTCACTTCCAAGTGTTATAAGCACAGGGACCACAAGGAGCTCAGGTGTTTTGGAAAGGATGATGTCAATAGGGTCTGCAACCAAAGGCTCGCTGACAGCCTGCGAGGCGATGCCGCGGGAACAGCCGCAGGCAGGGGCTCACACTGTCCACCACAGGCTCCGCTCCATCAGCCCTGCACGGCCAGGTGCCATGGCCAGGGCCACTCCACGGCAGCTGCAGCAAGGCTGGACACGAGCTCAGGGACTTCACCCCCATCTGCTCCCCACACTCACCCCCCATGCTGTTATTCTTAGGGCAAAAATAGTTAGATTTTTGTAAACTAAAAAAAAACGAGTGAAAAGAGGCTCCAGAGCCTTTCCTGGCAGACAGTGACGGTGTGTGCCCGGCCTCCCTCCAAAGTGCGAGTGGCTAATCTGGTCTCAACAAAATGAGCATCAGGGTAATCAGTGAGCGTCAACACTCTAATGGCACTGGCAGAGCCTCAGCAAAGTCCGGAGGGTTATCCCGGCTGCATCGTATTCCCACGGGAAAGGTAGGTAGCAAGGGCTCTCCTTCAGGTCCCCATCCACGGCTGTCAGGTGCCATGGGGCATGCGTAGTGCTGCCAGCACCTGAGTTGCAGCCCCATCTGGGTTATTAATGGGCTCTCTGCTGCCTGCAGCCATCTGCCCTGGGCATCCCGCCTGCCTGCGCTGGGAGGGGACGGGATGGGACGCCTCGCTCGCCCGCAGCCAGCGCAAATCTCAGCTTCCCAGGCGGGGCAGCTCTGTAAACCACAGCAACTTCAGCGCCGGGTTTATACGCTTACGATTACAGCAGGCAAATTGACAGATGACGCTGTGTACACAGATTGTATAAACTGCTGCCGGGTGCTGCCCCGTGCCCCTCGCCGGGCGCTGGCGGGTGC